GTCCACGCGGGAGATTGTTTCATCGCTTTTCCCGTTTTCCTTAGACATCTTGGGAAACTTGTTACGTTGGAAACGCTTGTGTGACAAGGGGTATAAACGTTTGTAAATTTGTCAATTTTCAACAGGTAAAATAATACCAGAGGTAATGTAAAGGTCCCCTTGCTGTTGCTAGTAGCGATTTTACACTCAGTTGACTTATAAGCTTTTCAAATTTACAACCAATATTTTGGCGAAGAGTCTACACTAAAATATCAAAATGTCTCAAATGTCTCCTTTTAATTTCTCATGACAAACAATTTTTTTTGTCCAACCAGACTGGCTTTTTGTCCGGTCAAAACTGGTCCTTGTCCTAAAAAAAATGACCTGCCTATAGACAAAAATTATTTGCAGGCTTGATATCGTATCAGCTATGATCACTAACAACTGTCACTACAAGTGACAAGATTTTTTATGGTGTAATTAAATCACACAAGCCTAATAGCTGATTGTGTGCGCATGTTTTAAAGGACGTAAAATCAAAGGCCAAGATCACTTGTTTTTGACTTTTTACCAGACACAATTCTGCTTGAAGGGTTTTAATATGTATAATGTTAATATATCACTAATAATTAATGATAATTATATTAACATATTTATGCAATTATTGCTGTATTTATTCCTTTTATTTACCTCTGCTTCTAGAATTTTCATCTTTATCTATCATCCTCAATTCTTTCTGATCTCCATCAAGGCCACTCTCACTGCCAATAGTTACCACAACATTATGTGTTGCAGTATGTGGGCTTGTGGTTCCTGTAGAGGCTTCTTCAAGTGCAGGTATCACTTCACTTCCAAAAGTGTCCCAATTCTCCACTTCACCACAACACAGGACTGTACTCTCATACTCTTTTTCAGTGATGTCATCTCCACTGCTGTGTGACTCTACATCATCAGAGTCTAGCTGTTTGTGCTTGTGCCCAGCATTTTTAGCTTTCATAGAGGGAATGACGTCAAGCTGATTTCCAACCAGGTACAAAGGAAACTCAGACGAATCACTGCTTTCCATTGGAAGATTATCCTCTTTATTTACCTCCTCTTCACAACTGGATTCTGTCACTGAGGAGGAGTAACAGTAAATCAAAATGAACACATAGTAGTCATAGTAGTATCTTTTGGCTCGCAGCCAATCTGCAAGCAGGCTCCCCAAAATAAAATTAATTCAAATGACAAAGTTTATGTTTTATATCAACTTCAATTCTGTTTGAAAATGAAGCAATGTCTGCCATGCATATACAGGCAAATAAAACAAATCTTGACATACCAAGGCCAATACTGAAGTTGACTAGCTTAGACAAATTACTCTGGGCATCAAACTTTCACAGGATGAGACAGAGCCAAAAAAACTCAACACCAAACATTACACAACACAAAGCTCAAATCAACCACCCATAAGCTACACATACTCTTTAAATTTTGATTGTGGTTGTCATTTTCTGAATCACACACATTGTTGTGACATGGAGATGAGTAGGGTGATATTTCATCATCTGCAAAGTAGTCAGTCTTATCATCATCACTTTCTGGGTAACCTGCAGGTTGGCATTTCTTTAAAATCTGTGCATCGTCAGTGCCTGCTGTAAACAATCACACCAGAAATTTAAAACCAAGGACCACTGTAACTTATTTCATGACAATTTCATGAAAGAGGGGGTGACATACATGACAATATCAGGAAGAACACCAGTAGCAGGGCTGTAGCCAGTATGAGGCAAACCAAACACTTGCCTCAGTCATTTTTTTGTTTTTTCCTCCCTTTCATCAAGAGTGAAAGTAAAAAGGCTGCTAAATACCTATACAAAGAGAATTTAACCAGGGACATTACCTCAGTCATAATTGAAGGGTTTCGTGCAAAAAGGGCATATATCGCTTTTTGGGCCAATTTTCATTTTTCAGGATTGAGCTAATTTTTGGCAGACTGACTTGTTTCAACATGAAAAGCATCGTTCCGTAATTGTTTTGGCTGATTTGCGCTTCATTTTCGAGAAATATTGTATGCAAAAAAACTCAGTTTTTCAAGGGCACCTTTGGAGATCTTTTGTTGAACGAAAAACAAAAGAAATCTTTTGTTTAGCTCAACGATGAAGTCACCGAAGCGTGGCATTTGCCGCTAGTTGTTTGAACCGATACAAATTTTATTATTCATATCATTACACTAATCTCTTACTGTTGCTTCGTTTGTGGAAGCAAATAAGGTGCTGAAGGGACCAGATTCAAGTTTGTTTTGTCATGACACTGGTTCGATAGGAAGTTGGCCGATTTTTTTTCTGGTCTATTCCTCTACTTCTTTTAAAAATCAAACATCTATTTTCAAAAAAACTGTGCTGTTGCAGCTGCTAAAAGTAACTGTTTAAGTTCATGTCACATCAAAATCCACCTTCCAAGGATACGCACCAAAAGATGCCCCTCGGAAAACTGACTTTTTTGCATACATTATTTCTTGAAAACGAAGCAGAAATCAACCAAGACAATTACACACGACACTTTTCATGTTAAAACAAGTCAGTCTGCCAAAAATTAGCTCGATCCACAAAAAATGAAAATCTGCCCAAAAAGGTGATATACGCCCTTTTTGCACAAAATCCTTCAATTGTTTCATAGTCGACAATGCCTCAGTCATTTTTTTTCTGGCCACAGCCCTGAGGAGAGTTCAGGGTGTTGAACCCAGAGATTTTAGTCCAAGTCAAGAGACTCTCAACACAATGTCACACAGTGAGGGTTACCAGCAGGGTGACCTGTTAAAGCAAATTTCCCATCTCCAATTTAAAAATGTACCAGCTGGTGGAAATATGATAATTAGGGAGAACATATAGAGATTACTTCATGGAAAATGCGAGCGTTATTCACAAGTTGAGTAGTATAAAAATCATACAAAGCATTTTCCATGCTGTAATGTGTTTATTTCATAGGTAATGAGATTTTTTCGTGTAGTATTTGGTTGACAAATTGCACAAATGGGGCGATGAAAAGCGTGAAAAATAGTTCAAGGTTAAAATCGCTCAACAACAACTAAGTCAGTAATGAAAGCTTATAAAATTTACAACACTTACTGTGTTCATAATATATCGATAAAGTCAAATGTCTACTACTTAAGGAAGCCATGCCAATAAGCTACGTAATGTCGTGACAGATTTGTGGCAAGCATCGGAGACTGATTTACTGTGTTGATGTGAATGGAAAAATTACCACCTTGAATAACAGCTCCGCTGAACAATGTCATCGACTGCTTACCGCTATTCTGGGAGTCGGAGGACAACGGACAGGCTAATTGAGACGAGGATGAAGCTGAGGTATCAGCCACCACACCGCTTAGCACTTTTGACATGTGCAGTTGTTGTTTCGTTGAAACAGTGCTGTAGTTTTCTATGTTCTTCAAATTCTTATGACCAGATAGTTGTGCAATTTGTGTGGGTGGAATGTCACGTTCACTTAGCGTCTGGATCATTGTCTTTTGGCCGCTGTGATTTCGAAGTCTGTCATTTTCAATTCCTGCCTTCTGAACCATTGTCTTCATTAAACTGTTGAGGCTGTTAACGCCAACAGCGCTGGACTTGAACCAGCCTTTCCTTGCGAGCGAGTCTGCCTTTAAAGTGTTGTTTATGGCCAGGTAAAAGGGAGCATCGCCTTGATTCATTTCCTCTGGTCTCTTCCTGGCAAAAAATTTGTAAACTGCGAAGGATCTCTTTCAGTTCCGTTGGTCGCAAACATTTTCGGTGTTACAGCCCTGACATTGCTGTAGTCTGATCCAGTTCTAGTGTTAGTCCGTCTTTCATTAAACTCCAAGTACTCCACTCCACTTGCCGTTTTGTGTAGCTTTACATCTCCCCAGCACATATCACGATGTTCTTTGCACCCATGGAGTCCAAAGTGAAGAGTGTTGTTTAGCCAGAGCATGTTTAAAAGTGCCTTGGGACTACACATACCAAGCAAACCCTTGTCATACAATACCTTCAACTCTTCGCTTGTCAAAGCTACCGATGCGTTGGGTTTATTTCCTTTTCCTTGCTTCTTTAGCTGTTTTTGCTTGGATTGAAGAACTTTTCTGGTTTTCTCAAAGACCAAGTCATTGATTATGCTGGCAGAATATCCATTTTTCTTCGAGTGTCGTTTAGAGCTGGCAATTAAACTTCGAAGCGAAGTTGGCTCATACTCAGTGCCATTTTTAGTGTAGACAGAGATAATAAATTGGCTAATGTATTCATTCAGCTCAACTGCTGAAATATCTTCAATTTTCCTGTCTTCGTTCTTTGTTTTCAAAAATCTTTCAAGCAATCTTACGTCTCGTTCAGTTTTTTAAGCGGTATTTTTGTTTTCTTGCTCTAAAATAAATTCTTCAACTGAGCAAACAGAAGCAAACCTTCCCTTGGTCATTTTTCAAAGGGTGCGGGTTTTTGTGCAACGGCTCTTGGATGATGTTCTCTTCAGTACTTTCATTCATCATTAGTGAAATGTTGTCGTTTGTGTTGCTGATTGGACGAACAATATTTTTTCACGGTGAAATTTTGTCGTTCGTGCTCTTGATTGGCTACATTTAGAATCAGTATGAATTTTATTCACTATGATTTTCGTGGGTAAATCTCAGTACCTATGAAATAAACCAATTTTTGTCATTGTACCAGTTTTGAAATGAAACAGGCAGTTCTTGGAAAGATCACTGAGGCTGACATTTTAAAAAAACTTTCTAACGAAGCCCTGCCAGAGATAGTGGCAGATGAAAATGAAACTGCCAATGGTAAATGAAGCTTACAAGTCAGACTCTGCTCCTCATCCACAGCATGCTTCAGTTCTAACCAGTCAATGCCTTCTGTCCCTGCATCACTGTTGCTCTCATTTGACAACCTACAANTCTCATACTCTTTTTCAGTGATGTCATCTCCACTGCTGTGTGACTCTACATCATCAGAGTCTAGCTGTTTGTGCTTGTGCCCAGCATTTTCAGCCTTCATAGAGGGAATGACGTCAAGCTGATTTCTAACCAGGTACAAAGGAAACTCAGATGAATCACTGCTTTCCATTGGAAGATTATCCTCTTTATTTACCTCTTCTTCACAACTGGATTCTGTCACTGAGGAGGAGTAACAGTATATCAAAATGAACACATAGTAGTCATAATAGTATCTTATGGCTCACAGCCAATCTGCAAGCAGGTTCCCAAAAATAAAATTAATTCAAATCACAAAGTTTATGTTTTATATCAACTTCAATTCTGTTTGAAAATGAAGCAATGTCTGCCATGCATATACAGGCAAATAAAACAAATCTTGACATACCAAGAACAATACTGAAGTTGACTAGCTTAGACAAATTACTCTGGGCATCGAAATTTCACAGGATGAGAGAGAGCCAAAAAAACTCAACACCAAACATTACAAAACAAAAAGCTCAAATCAACCAAACATAAGCTACACATACCCTTTAAATTTTGACCGTGGTCTTCATTTTCTGAACCACACACATTGTTGTGAGACGGAGATGAGAAAGGTGATATTTCATCATCTGCAAAGTAGTCTCTCTCATCATCATCACTTTCTAGGTACCCTGCAGGTTGGCATTTCTTTAAAATCTGTGCATCGTCAGTGCCTGCTGTAAACAATCGCACCAAAAATTTAAAACCAAGGACCACTGTAACTTATTTTATAACAATTTTATGAAAGAGGGGGTGACATGCATGACAATATAAGAAAGAACACCAGTGGCAGGGCCGTAGCCAGTACAAGGCAAACTGAGGCACTTGCCTCAGTCATTGTTTACATTTTTTTCCTCCCTTTAAACAAGGGTGAAAGTAAAAAGCCTGCTAAATACCTATATGAAGAGAATTTAACCAGGGACATTACTTCAGTCATAATTGAAGGGTTTCGTACAAAAAAAGCATATCGCTTTTTGGGCCAGTTTTCATTTTTTTCAGGATCGAGCTAATTTTTGGCAGACTGAATTGTTTCGACATGAAAAGCGTCATTCTGTAATTGTTTTGGCTGGTTTGTGCTTCATTGTCAAGAAATATTGTATGCAAAAAAAATCAGTTTTCCAAGGGCATCTCTTGGAGATCTTTTTTGAACGAAAAACAAAAGAAATCTTTTCTTTTGCTAAACAATGAAGTCACTAAAGCGTGGCATTTGCCACTGGTTGTTTGAACCAATACAAATTTTATTATTCACATCATTATGCTAATCTCTTACTGTTGCTTCGTTAGTGCAAGCAAAAGGCGCTGAACGGACCGGATTCAAGTTTGTTTCGTCGTGACACCGGTTCGATATGAAATCAGCCAATTTTTTTTTCTGGTCTATTTCTCTATTTCTTTTAAAAATCAAAACATCTATTTAAAAAAAACTGTGCTGTCGAAGCTGCTAAAAGTAACTGTTTAAGTTCACGTCGCATCAAAATCCACCTTGGAAGGATTCGCTCCAAAAGATGCCCCTTGGAAAACTGAGTTTTTTGCATACATTATTTCTTGAAAACGAAGCAGAAATCAACAAAAACAATTATGCACAACACTTTTCATGTCAAAACAAGTCAGTCTGCCAAAAATTAGCTTGACCATGCAAAAATGAAAATCTGCCCAAAAAGGTGATATTCCCCCTTTTTGCATGAAATCCTTCAATTGTTTCATAGTCGACAATGCCTCAATCATTTTTTTTTCTGGCCACAGCCCTGAGTAGAGTTCAGGGTGTTGAACCCAGAGATTTTAGTCCAAGTCAAGAGACTCTCAACACGATGCCACACGGTGAGGGTTACCCAGCAGGGTGACCTGTTAAAGCAAATTTCCCCTTTCCAATTTAAAAATGTACCAGCTGGTGGAAATCTGATAATTAGGGCGAACATATAGAGATTACTTCATGGAAAATGCGAGTGTACAATTTTTATTCACGAGTTGAGTTTTCTGATATGTATCAACGAGAGAATGAAAATCGTACGAATCATTTTCCATGCTGTAATGTGTTTATTTCATAGGTACTGAGATTTTTTTGTGTAGTATTTGCTAGACAAATTGCATAAATGGGGCGATGAAAAGCATGAAACACCGTTCAAGGTTAAACTCGCTCAACAACAACTAAGTCAGTAATGAAAGCTTATAAAATTTACAACACTTACTGTGTTCATAATATATCAATAAAGTCAAATGTCTACTACTTAAGGAAGCCATGCCAATAAGTTACGTAATGTCATGAAAATAACTGAGTCCGTATTTAGTTATTGTCGGAGTCACTTTCCAGTTCTAAAGGCTTCAGACGTTTCCATCTCACTGCTTCGCGACTTGATGGATTTGTGGCAAGTGTCAGAGACTGACTTACTGTGTTGATGTGAATGGAAAAATTACCACCTTGAAATTAACAGCTCCACTGAACAATGTCATGGACTGCTTACCAGTATTCTGGGAGTCAGAGAACGATGGACAGGCTGATGGAGATGAGGATTAAGCTGAGGTACCAGCCACCACACTGCTTAGCACTTTTGACATGTGCATTTGTTGTTTCGTTGAAACAGTGCTGTAGTTTTCTATGCTCTTCAAATTCTTATGACCAGATAGTTGTGTAATTTGCGTGGGTGGAATGCCATGTTCACTTAGCGTCTGGATCATTGTCTTTTGGCCGCTGTGATTTCAAAGCCTGTCATTTTCAATTCCTGCCTTGCCAATTTTGAATGAAACAGGCAGTTTTTGGAAAGATCACTGAGGCTGACATTTTAAAAATTTCAAACTTTCTAGTGAAGCCCTGCCAGAGATAGTGGCAGATGAAAATGAAACTGACAATGGTAAATGAAGCTTACAAGTCAGACTCTGCTCCTCATCCACAGCAAGCTTCAGTTCTAACCAGTCAATGCCTTCTGTCCCTGCATCACTGTTGCTCTCATTTGACAACCTACAAATAGAGACAATATAAAAAACATTTTGACTGCCACTGTATTCCCTTCAGGAGGTTTTGTGTCAAAATAATCAAAGTATTGGCAGCCACTTCAAAAGTAAAACTGCACTGCATACCGCTTACTAACTGAGTTTGAGGTCTGTACTGTAAGTTACCAACCAAGTTTTCCCCCCTTTGGTTCGTGGCTCAAGCACAAAGCATAAAGTGAAGAGGAAAAAACCAGGATCCATAACTTACAGTATGGACGGAGAAGACAAGGTTGGAAGATATTTATTAAATCTCTACTGTGTGTCTGACGGGTTCAGAAATGATTTCTATTCACGCGGAACGGCTTCAAATTCCTGAAGCACGACGAAAGCAAAACAGGCCAATTTAAAATCATTGTTAATTCGTTAGCACATTTTAAAACACAATATAAAAATAAAGTTTATAAAAGTCTATACAAGTTAAGAACATGAGGCAATAAATCATCAAATATTTTAGTAACAAAAACAGCTGTAAATTTTAGCGGGCGGTGCAGTAGAAAACGTCCTGCTAAATTGACCAATCGCAACACGCATAGTAACTAAGATATCAAAACAACTCAGGTAACAACATCATTTAATTAAGAGATTACATCCTAGCATTATTCTTTAGGTCCATAAAATCTGCAGTGATGAAATATTACCTGCTATTCACATTCTGTAGGTAATTAGCCAAGGTTAGATGACCATTAGCTCTTGCAACATCTTCTGGTAATGTAGCACTATTCCTGTAACTGTTAAAGACAACTTTTCCAGCTGACGTGCTGAAGATCATTTGAATAAATTCCCAACCATCTATTTCTGCTGCTTTGTACACCAGCGACTGTAACAGTTCAACTGACCAAGCATGTTCACTCTGATTTAAGCTTGATGATCCTTGAAAAGGTGCAGATAGAGAATTATGTTAGCAGCAGCGCATTGCACAATTATTTGTTATATTAACATAACACAACTATAAACAGTATTGGTTTTTTTTTTGAGACATTGGATCTACTGAGAGAAATTATTACATTGATTATATTGAGTTATTCACAGATGACTTCCTTTTGATTCTCAAGAGGTGTCTTTCAGGTTATAACCTAGCCATAAACCCACAGTTTAATGATATTCTATTCTCATTTTCAAAATTTACTTTCATGAGTTTTTTGGTCACCTCAGGGACCTGTTTCTCGAAAGCCCCGGAAACTTTTCGGGCCCACAAAGCCATTTTAAATTAATCTGTACCTAATAACAGAGAGGTGTATATGCCTGAAACTCCTTGCATGAAGAGAACTTCTGCTCATATTAAGAATTTGCGAATAAAACAGCTCTGTAATCACGTGGTTTGAGATTTTGCTACGGCTTTCCGGGTGCAAAAACATTTCAGGACCTTAGAGAAACGGGCCCCTGACACTTATAAGAAAACTCAATGCACACATACCTAATAATAGATGTAAGATTGGAATGATAAATTAATTATTAATAATAAAAAACTTACCTGGCCCTGTTTTACCAGAAGAATCTGATGTCTGTGCCTCACTTGGTTTGCTGCTACTCAGTTCTTTATCTATCATATCAAACAGCTTACGCTGCCTGTCCCTGTCCTTGACTAACATTCTAAGAACTTCTTCATCTGTGGGTGGGTCATCAATATATTCAAATACAACTTCACCACCCTTCCATGAACCATCTAAAGATGTCAGTGTGACCTTTACTGGACCAGGACCCTGCAGGGATTCTGAAATTCACACAATTTTGTTTTGCCATGATGCCATAACTATTATAGCACAGTACTCCAAATAAGGCCATTCATGTATATGTTTTCTCATATTGATCAATAGCAGTTGACTATTTATAGAACAGTCACATTGATCACAAATTGGTTTCTTTAGTGTACCTACAGCTTGCAATCGCTCAGATTGATACAGTCAAACCTGTATATAACGGTCACCCTTGGGAAATAGCCAGGTGACCGTTATATACAGGGTGACTGCTGTACACAGGTTTCCTCTAAACTCCCCTGGAAGTCAATAAATAGCATTTTTAAGTGCAAATAATTACTCAATTTACGTTTTATTGACAATAACAAATAACTGCAACGCAATAAACACGATAATAAAAGCCCATAAAATGTCCTTTGTGTACCTTGAGGGAGGTGCAGTAAAAGTCTCCTGAAAGCTAATAAACAACGTTTTAAAGTGGAAAATCATTCAATTTACATTTATTGACAACAATTTTATACAGGTAAGTACAGTACAGTGTTATAATCAGGGAACTATGACGAAAGTGAAAACAGTGTAGTACGGTTGTGTTGTCACAGTTACAGTAACTACTGTTTGAAAGTGACGACACTTTAATGTTATCTGCTGCAAGCATGTGTCGGACGTAGGCAATGACATGTATTAGTGGTTGTGTTAAGTATTAATATTTGTATTTTTGTGAGACTCCTGCCCAAGGATTAATCCCTCTGTGAATTTCAAAGTTGAAAAAGTCATTCCAGACAAACAAGGAAGGTTCATTATTTTAAAATTGTCACTGGAAGAGAAAGTTATTGTTCTTGTCATCATTTATGCACCTAACGATGTCACCTAACATGTTGCTTTAAAAGACTAAACCAACAACTTGAGGACTTTGCACAAGATACAATAATATTATAATTGGAGAAGACTTCAAATGCTCACTCACCTCAAATGACAAAAGAGGATTTAACATTAACTTTAATGTTTCCAGCACATATTACACATACACATACTAAAACAATAGTTTTCAAATATTGCAGCAGGCCNTCATTGTTTTTGTCTCTAATATTTTGAAAGTTTCTAGTAACAAAGATGCGGCAGGTAAACAGGTCCTATTTGGAGGTACTGAACCTGACATTGAAAATTTCTGGAAGCTTAAGCTGTTAAAGTCGTCAACCAATTACCGGTCTGGTCTGGTCTCAGAAGTGAAACCATGTAAAAAATGGTTAGCAGCCACACATGAAACCGAAAATGGCAAAAGCTTACAAGGCAGACTCTGCTCCTTATCTACAGCATGCTTCAGTTCCAACCAATCAATGTTTTCAGTCCCTGTATCATTGCTGCTTTCTTTTGACAACCTGCACATTGAGACAGAGTGAAAGCACTCAGATTAGTATACCAACATTGTTTGGTTTGTGGCAGACACTTCCTGTACATTTTGTTTCGAGATAAGACAGATAAGCATTCTAAATTACCTGACTTAAATTTATGTTGCCTTAGAAAACTGACTTTGCTACATTTGGATGGAACAAATATCATCAAAAAGTGCCAAGGGGAAACAGCTAATCATTTTAGAATTACCAATGGTCCCAATATACTTTTCAGGTCTAAATAATCTGACTGAATCTTTATTACCTGGTGTTCAAGCCTTGAAGGTAATCAGCCAAGGTTGTATGTCCATTAGCTCTGGCAGCATCCTCTGGTAATGTAGCACTGTCCTTGTAATTGGAAAATACTATTTTTCCAGCAGAAGTACTGAAGACAGTTTTGACAAATTCAAAACCACCAATTTGCGCTGCCTTGTACACAAGTACTTTTAAAACCTTAACAGACCAAGCACCTTTATTCTCACTTGAGCTCAATGAACCTATAGAAAGAGACCCATACCAGAGGCATTTAATTCTATGTACATACAGATAATTGTAATAATCAATTTAATTGTTATATTTTCAGCATATTTACAGCTCAATTGGAGCTATATTTTGCTTAGTCCACAAGTTTTGCACATTGAAATAGCTGGTACCCTAATCAGACTTTTCAGATTTGCCTGTCCTCTGTTAGTAAAATGAATTGAATAAAATTACGCTTGGAAATATGAATATAAAATTGCATATTGCAAAGCAAACCTCGTACTGCAATGAGATACTATAGTTTCTATCATAGACTTTATATTACATAGTAAACATATACCGCTAAAAGACATATGTGAACTGTGATTGAAACATGAAATAAATGAAATGATCTTCTTATTGTGTAAACCATTTAGATAATTGCCTTGTTTAGCCTGCACAATCTAATTTGTTTAAATATGCTTTTGTTCTTTTACCTATCAAAGAGCTACCTATGAGCTGCCTTCCCTGCCTTTTGTTTACTGGCCAATAAACAAGGCAACAAGTACTGGACTAAAATATAATGTAGCTATGATCGAGCACAGGCCACTCATTGCCATGGTCACAACAAGCTGACCCAAGATTAATGCCATGCATGTGACTTTGGTAATGCTTGACATGCAGTGACATAAGAATGGGTATACACTTTATCCCATTGTATCCAAACCTAAACCAGGTAATACAACTGAGACAACAATGAGCATTTTATTTGCAACCAAACATTATATCTTTATAACTACCACTTAAGTTGACTGCAAAGTACAAAGATAATTTCATTCATTACATTTACTATATAACCATCCACAACACCTAGTTTTGTTGAAATTCTGAGCTCCTCTATATTTACCACCTTGGATTGAGACATTATATTGATCTACAAACTCCCATGGTCCATAAACACAAGTTACATGAACATGCTGTTTCAACTTTATATGGTAGTTTTATGTTAACATTTGCAGTTAAACTGTTTCAATTTTTTTTTTACATTTCTTTTCATTTAATATCGACTTATTTATGATACACACTCACTAACCATCCAACCTCTTCATTCATTTGATCAGCAACAAATCTTCATAAACATATAATATTTTATGTTTAAAAGCCTCAGATGAAAGATCAGAATGATGAAAAAAACTGATGAAAAAATTAAATACGAAATACGAAACTGCACTTATTCGTTTGGTTGACCAGTTGCTGTTTAACCTTGACAACAATAAAGTCACTGGCCTTGTTTTTATAGACTATAAGTCAGAAGGCCTTTGATCAGATTGACCATCATCTGCTCTTATCGAAACTGAAGGTGCTTGGAGTGAACAAGACTTTTCTTCCCCTGTTCCGCAAGTATTTGAGTGGAAGAAGTTAGTATGTAGTATAGGCAGGTGCCATTCTACTATAAGGCCCGTGACGCTCGAAGTGCCACAGGGAAGCATTTTACGCCCCATCTTATTCCTCGTTTTTATAAATGATCTACCTAAAGCACTGCAACACTCTGTCGCTGATACATATGCTGATGACACTACAATCAGCCAGTACACTGACTATCAGGCAGCCTTAGAGGGCCTACAGAAGAACATTGATGAAGTCGTAAATTGGTCATCAAGTATTAAAATGTTGTTCAACGAGTCCAAACAAAACCTATGCTTGTCACGGAAAACGATTGATGAGGAAGATGGAACTTTCCTCCCTTCCGTTATGTTTAAAGTCTTCTGAACTCGATCAAGTACACTCGCACAAACTGCTTGGGGTGATGGTCAACAGTCAGCTTTCCTTTGACCAGCACATGGATGACCTATGCAAGAAGTTAGCACAGAGAATCGCTGTTGCGGAAAATTAGCTGCTCACTGCCTCTTGATCAAAGAAAACTTAATTATAATGCAACGATCAAGCAGACAATGCTGTATGCCTCAACCATGTGAACATCCTGCTCTGTAGAAAACATTCAGAAAGTGTTCAGGATACGGAAACACGCAACCTTTGTACTACTTGGTGCTGACACAAAAGCAAACAGAGTAAAACTTTTTAAAGAATTAGGTTAGGTTCCATTTCACCATGAAGCGAAAATAAATAAGTCAATATTGGTATATAAACGGATTTTAGGGGAGTGCCCTCAATAAATAAAGTTGCTTCTTATTATTATTATGATTGTGAATATGATTATGATTATGATTATTATTATTATTGCTTTGATGAACCACACAATGTTTTTGAAGTTCATTTCTTAATGAAGACAAGACATGTTTCAGATGAGACATCATCCATCATCAGTTGTGCAGTGAGAAATAAAATGAAAATATGCTATAAATAGTATAACAAAGTGAGATATTAACAAGAATAATTGAGGATGAAGGTGCAAACCAAGAAAAGGCACAACTATTTAAGCTAAGAAAGGAGACTAATTAGTATGAAAGGGATAAATTAAGATGTTTGACCTGGGAATTTAAAGACGTCTGCTCCCAAAGGACATGCATGGTTTCCTTGATTTTCAATTGGAAGCTTGTGGAAGCAGAGTGGAGAATTTTAAAACAATCTTCTGAACAAAGGGAGAGACAATTTTCAGAACTTCTCAGGTGTTTAAAGATGTGAGAATGTTTGTCAGAGGAGAGATGTTCGTGGACACGAGTGGTAAAGTGTCTGTTGGTAACCAACAATTATTATTATAATTGTTGTTATTAGTATTATTTATTATTATTATTATCATTATTATTATTATTGCTATTATTATTATTCCTATATACATGTACCGATATCAGTCCTTTAACCAATCATCCTCAAGGCTGTGTGACGCATTGGCCACAATGACCAAGAAAATCTGTACACAATACATTGACCCTACAACCATAGAGCCTTTGATGGCAAGCCGCCTGATCCCCTTGGATAAAGACGAAGGTGCGGTGAGACCAATAGGAGTCAGGGAAGTCATACGGAGAATCACTGGAAAGTGTGTGAGGAATGTTGCTATGAAGGATGTGATTGAAGCTAGCGGATCACTCCAACTATGTGCTGGGCAAAAGTCCAGAAGTGAGGCTGCAGTACATGCTGTGCACATGATATCTGAAGCAGATGATACCGACGCCGTACACAGTACTGCTGATTGATGCCTGCATGTAATGCTTTTAATGCCTTGAATAGAGCTGCAGCTCTGCATAACATCCAAGTTTTATGCCCTATGATTGCAGTCTACGCCATCAATACCTATAGAGAGCCAGCTCGGCTGTTCATCACTACTGGTAAAGAGATCTTGTCAGTAGAAGGGACCATGCAGGGAGATCTGCTCTCTATGACCATTTACATATGTATGTATGTACATATGCACTATTTACGCTCTTAGCTTCCAGCCTCTGATCAAGTGCCTGCAGGCAGCGTCTACAGTAAAGCAGTGCTGCTTTGCCGATGATACAAGTGGGGCAGGTTCTGCTACAGAGATAAAGATGTGGTGGGATACGCTGAATACCCTGGGTCCAGATTTTGGCTTCTTCCTATTTTTCTCATTTTTATTCTGTAAGAGCATTTTAATGTAATGCGCTAGAAATAAATTATTATTATTATTATTATTATTATTATTATTATTATTATTATTCCTGAATGATAAGAAGTGCTGGATTATTGCAAAGCTGGGCAAGAAGGGAAGTGTGAAAGAGGTATTCAAGGAAATGAACATTAATGTAACAGTTGAAGGGAAGAAACATCTGGGTGCAGTGATAGGCTCATGAGAGTATTTGGACAAATACGTCACTGGGAAGGTATCCGAGTGGGTCAGAGAAGTAGTTAAATTGGCAGAACTCGCCCTGGCACAGCCACAGGCATGCTATGCTGCCTACACTTTCGGTTTAAAACATCAGTGGACTTACTTTCTAAGAACACTAATGGGCATTCAGGATCTACTAGAACCACTGGAGAATGCAATGTCTCAAGTGCTTATTCCAGGGATAATGGAATGTAACTGTGAACAGTTAGTTAGAGACATCCTAGCACTTCCAGTCTGCCTGGGAGGCTTGTGCCTTGGAAACCCAAGCCGGGAAGCAAGTCGGGAGTACGCTTCATCAGTCAAAGTGACAACAACCCTCGTTGAGCATATTATGTCCTAAACACACCAGCTGCCAGACGAGTCTCTTGTTAAGTTGGCACAGCAGACAGTCAAGAGTGAAAGAGCAGAAGAACTTAAGGACACAGTAGAGAGGATTAGGGAGAGTGCACCACCAAAAACCAAGCGAGCACTAAACCCAGCAGCAGAAGAAGGGTCATCGGTGTGGCTGACAGTGCTTCCCCTCCTAGAAATGGGCTTCAACCAGAATAAATGGGAGTTCTGTGATGCCATCAAACTATGCTATGACTGGCCAGTTGATATTCCCTCTAACTGTGTTTGTGGGGAAATCTTTGTGGTAAACCACGTCATGATTTGTAAATGAGGTGGATTTGTCATTCATTGAGATAATGAGCTGAGAGACCTGGAAGGTGAACTCCTGAATACAGTATGTAGTGATCTTAAAGTCGAACCTGTCCTCCAAGACATCAGTGGAGAATAGCTCAGCAGAGGAGCTAACAAGATTGGATATTTACACATGTGGAACTTTCTGGGAACACCAACGATTGGCCATCTTCGATGTCAGGGTTTGCCACCCAAATGTCGAATCATAGAGAGACCTAGAGCCACAACAGATTTACAGAATGCATGAAAATTAGAAGAAACATCAGTACTCAAGCAGAGTTCTCTCGCATCGACCTCTGCCTCCTCTATCATCTATTAAAATATGTGACAGTATCCTGTTCTTCTAACGCATGTAACATGGGTGTTAGGTCAGTCTCTCTGTATGGTTCCTCATGTGACATCTGTTTGAAAATCGCCTTTTTTCCATCTTCACAATATTGGTATGATTCGAAAGTACCTCACACAGGAAGCTTCACAGTACCTTATTCGCGCCTTTGTTACCTCAAAACTTGACCATGGTGACTCCCTGATGTATGTTTTACCTTAGTTAATAGACTTCAAAATGTACAAAATGTTGCTTCCTGTCTCGTATCATTGTCACCAAGATGTGCGCATATTACATTCATACTTGCTAATCTTCACTGCCTTCCTATATGTCTACGTATTGAATTCAAAATCCTCCTTATCACTTACAAAGCCTTTCATGATTCTTTAACAATATCAATTACCGTTTGCAACCTCAGATCATCTCAAAAATACCTCCTTATACCATCCAAAATTTTAATCTTTAATCAAAATGCTTTTTCTGTTGCAGCACCTCACCTCTGGAAGAGTTTGCCAGATGATATCAAAAATGCTGACTCTATTGCCCTTTTTAAACATGAACTAATTTAAGTTCAACTTTTAAGTTCTTTTGACTTTTAAGTGAACTTTTAAAGTCTTAAAAGACGTTACTTTTTAAACGAGCTTCTTATTTACTTGTATTTAATTTAATGTTTTCTTTTCGCTTTTTCAATATTTTAGGGAGCTACTCATACAAGAACCTTATAATAGTCGTACATGTCGGATTAAATAAATAAACCTACCTGGTAATGCTCTACCCGAAGGATCTGATGTTTGTAGGACACTGGAGATTCCTTTATGCATGCATTCAAACATCTTACGTTGCATTTCAGTGTCCGTTACCAACTGAAGAAGTAATTCTTCCTTTGTGAACCGGTCAACATAAAGGAATTGAGTTTTACCACCCACCCAGGATCCATCTTCAGACATCAATGTGACATTTACTAAACCAGGATTCTTGGAGCCTGAAATTTAAACAATATCATAATCGTGATCAGTTTTTCAATTTTATTTAGGCAGCTATGTTTTTGAAATGAAATTACATGTATACAGAGATAATCGAAATAGCTCCAGTGGAGCGACCCTGATTAATGCAGTAATGTTTGAGACAATTCAGTTCCAGGTCGTTATCCTTCTCAGTTTCATCTCCAAAATGCCAGACATAATGAATCAATGATAAAAAAGATCACAGGTAATCAGTGGTAATCAATAAGCAATCAATTAAAGAAGAAATGCTCCGGACTCAGTGAACTTAATGTCTTGCCAAGCAAGATAGTGGCTATATTTGGCGCTTAAGGTGGCAACTGTCAAATTTGATTTGCAAAGGAAGAAAGGAAGGCAGTCCAGAATGATGGATGGATCGTGTAGATAGTACTGTGCACAAAGGCTTGTGCTTGCATTTGAAAAATGAGGTTGACTTGGTTGGTAACAGTGAAAGGGTCTGAAACTAAGTTGAGGGGGCCGAAAGACATCTACAGAAAAGAGAAAAACAATAAGAAGGCTTTTTCAAAGTTGAACCATCAGGCGGAACAAGCCATGTAAGTAAGTAGTGGGGGTGTGCATGGTCATCTGCTTGAAATGGTTCTTATGAAAGGGAGACAGGTGAGAGCAGCTAAGGTGGTCTGCCAGGGCCTTGTGATGCCCAGGAGATTGTGGACAGTGGTCATGCCAAAATCATGGAAAGCAGAGAGGAATCAGATCTCTCGCAATCATAATTACACGCCAAGTGGATGCAAATGACCTGAAGTGAGTGCCAGAATGCTGCTATTGTTGTCACAATGGAGGATGAAACATTTGCCATTCAGGACATGGCTTCAAAGTTTAATTAGTGCTTCCAATAGACAAAAGCTCAACATGAAAACATGGACAGAGCAACTGCAGACCATAACAAAGGAAATGACACTAACCAGTGATTGCAGGTCATGGCATGAGATGTGGGAGAGGGAAAGTGCAGAGCAATAACTATGGACGAGTCCTCAAAGGTGGTCTGGTGTGATGGTCATGGACATGTCAAGGGTATCCAGCTTAAGACATTTTGGGCTTAAGACACTTAGCTGCTGTAACTGCCCATACATCAGAGAGACTGGAGCGCAGCAAGAACTTCTGCAGTATTCGAAACTGATCTCGTGGGCTTCCCGTAGCTGAACATTTCAACTCCGCCTCTCACTCTCTGGATGACATTATGCTCTGTGGCTTAAAGCAACCCACTGGCAGCAACATCAGCCACAAGTAGCATGAGATAAAACTAGTCTTTAAGCTGGGCATGCGTAGACCAAATGGATTTAACATTACCTTTAATGTTTCCAGCACATATTACACATACACATACTAAAACAATAGTTTTCAAATATTGCAGCAGGCCTTCGTTAACTTTGTACTTCACGCATGCGCTTTTCGTGTGTGCGTACACATCCAATTTTTTGTATGACATGGCTCACTCATTTCATTTCCTGAAGAAGGGTCAAGCCTGAAACGTTTAGCAAATAAGCTATTATTTGACACATGAAAGAGCCTTCAGTCTGATATATATTTAGTTTATACAAAAATCAGCTTTGTAAATGAGTTGACGGAAAAGTATTGTTATTGAGAATTAAATACATACACGTAATTTGGAGGAATTAAGACGACGAATATATCTTACTTGGAGTAAAAAAACTTACTTGGAGTACTACCCGTCAAGGTAGAAAGGCTTTTTGGCTTTAAGGGCACTTTTCCACAACCTTCAAAATGAGCCACACATGAGTGAATGTTTAAGGGAATCATGTGCGGTGAGATGATACAGAACCGTTCTCCACCCTGTTTACAGAAAATGGGAATAATTCTACATCAACAATGATGTATTATCAAATAAGAGTTAAAAAATTAACTCAAACAAAATTAATTCAAAATCATAAGAACATTCAAATCCCATGATTTCAAGAATAGAACAAAATTTCATGCCCATAAAAATAACTTAGAAACCAATCAAATTTTCTCACCGAATTTCCAGGCAATGATTGGATGCTTGAGAGAAATTAAGGCTAACTCTGAACTTCTCTATTTTGGAATTATATCTGGCCTGTTCAGGACTTTTTCAATTAATACCAAACCTTTCCATAATTTTTAGAACACTCTGCGGTATTAGTCATTATAATCAATCAAATATTTTTGCTTTCATGTGATTGGTCTAAACACATCATGCGACCAAATATTCCTCAATTTTCAAAACTGCACATGTTGCGAAAAATATTTGAAGGATAATAAACACAATGTAGCCTCCATTTGGCATGAAAATACATGTATATGCTCGGATATTTGTCCTTGGACATTATCTGTTCCTCAAAGCTCACAGTTTTCCTTGAGCTAGTCGCTTTAGGAAAACTGTTCACTTCTCAGAATATTCAGATAATGTCTGCGGACAAATATCCATGCATATTTTTGCCCCAAATGGATGACCTCTCGCACATTTTCACAACCACCATCAATCCTCTACCTTAGTCACTATATCAACAGTTTTGACTTTAAAAAGAAACTGTTTTGATCCTAATAAAAGTTGGTGTTCTGTGTAAAATGACTTTAGAGGTGTAAAATCTAGTTTGAATTTAAGCCATATTTTGCTTCAACTTTTTTTGTTTGGCAGGGACAATGAGACAATGCATGGCCACATGTTTTCAATAGGCATCATTACATTGCCTGAATTTAGAGATATATTTTAAACATGTGCTTTTAAACATGTGTACTTGAGTGATTTTCTTTTATCACACCTCTGTCAAGTAATTTTGCAAGACCTGAGCAATGATTCAAGAATGAGTATTTTTGTTCCTCCTTTGTTCTATTAAATAACGGTTCAAAAATACCTTTGTGGATCCTTTACAAGGAATTATTTCAGTAACTGGAACAGTATCTGTAATAAGATGACAGACATTCCATTGATTTCAAAGTTAATATTTTTAAGTACCATGAAAAGCAGCTTGGTGATACACATAACTGGAGCATAATAATTTATTTAGGAAATAGAAAACATGTACCATGTTTCTATTGAGTTATACAAACATGAGTGAAACTTTGGGAGAATGAGAAATACTATGGGAACACAACCCGACCGCAGCTTTTTTCAAGTTCTCCCAACCTTCCATGAATTTTGATCTATTAAACAATTAGGTTATGAGCTTGATATTTCTATCACGCATAATCTAATTGTTTTAGTATAAATCTACTAGACAAGTCGTTCAAAAACATATAAATCTACTAGCATTCTATCAAATGCCATTCTCTGATTGGCTACACTACTCACTATCTATTCTGTGATTGATAGTGATTAGCATAGCAGGGTGTCCTTGTTAACAATATGATGGCTGCTTCCTGGCGTTTTTGAAGTGTCTGTGAAGAGAATTTAGATAACGTTTTGAAGGACTAGTAGATTTATACTATGAAACAATAAGATTATTCGCTCTCGATTTCTAAGCATGATGCAATGTAGTTGACTCAGGCTGCATCCTCATCAACTATCACATGATAGAAATTTCAAGCTCAGAATCTAATTGCTTAATAGAAACACGATTTTAAACCAATCAGTGCACCTATTTTCTTTGTGTTATTTCCAATCTGTTTTTACTTACAACATGTGACAGCAAAATTGGTATTTGGTACTGTCTGCACGAGCCTGGAAGCAGCATGTGCAGACATCTTAAGTATTACCTGTCAAGCTGAAAGCGTGATTAGCAATAAGCACCAGCACTACATAACCGTATGTTGATCATACTCCAGTATGTTGATGTTCGTGCTTACTATTGTGTCTGCCTTTAAAAAGACCTGTAGATGTAGCTGTGTTGAACAGATAATCAAATTTCATATTATTTAACTTTGTAAGGAATAGTGTTTAAAGATTAAGTTATTCCTGATATACTAACCTTCAGACTGCCCAGTGTCAAAATCAGACTTGGTGCTTTCTTCTGGGCAGGTTGAATTATACCCAAGGTCTACATTATCGTCACTAGACAAAATATCCGAAAGCAGCTGAATGGTCAGAATAAAGAGTAAGAAGAGATTAAAAAGTTATTAAGTGATGAAAACTTTTGTATCCACAAACTTTACAATGTATATAAGAAAGACCATTCAACAATAAGTTCACCTAGCTAGCTCATTTAATCAACTGATGCAAAAGTTGATGTCCTGCTCAAGACCAATTAACCAAATTGAGGTACCGACCAATGAAAAATACACTTGTCACCAGACTAAATTAATTACATTTTACGTGTAAAATCAAGATTATCACAATACCTCTTGGTTTGGACATAATAAATTCGTATGGAGGAATGACTTAGTAGACAAATCAAATGTGGTTTAGCGTTGTCTGTACTCTTATCAACAGTGATATGTGTCATTACAGTGTTCAAAATGTTGTGGACTCACGAGGCCCAGTCGAGTGAATCTACAACAAATTTTGACCACTGTGATGACGCATTTATTGTTGTCAATAAGAGTACAGACAACACGAAACCACATTCGATTTGTTTTTTACCACAATATCAACATCAAAGAAAATGTTTTTTCCTCAGAGCGTACCCAAGAGCATGACACATTCGCGCGAGCAGCGTTGTCTGGACTGTTATTGACAACAGCATATTAGCCAATCAGATTGTGAGATTAGTAGCAGTTGTGGTAAATAAGATTAATTTTATGTACAGCACTACAATTATTATACATGTACTTATGATTTGCTTGAGTGTTATCTTAATCGCTTTCCAGATTGCTCAAGATCATCATAGGTGGTTGCACAGAGAATCAAAACATTAAATGCCTTCCTTTAGAAACAGCTCTTACTGTTCAATAATATTAAGTTTATATCCCATAAATAAACCTAGAGCCACAGATGTTGCACCACCAATTTATTTGAAGGCAGGAAAATAAATTTTTGAAAATTGAAAACATAGCCAACAAATTTAATTGCAAGTTTTTCCTTTTCATTTGAAATGCAAAATGCAAGCTAGAAAGAAGATTTTTTTCTGTTAATTCTGATGAAATTGCAATTCACACTTGTGTACTGCATACCAGCACATGTCATACTGAAAGAATAAAATAATTTGACTGAAAAAGAATGGGAACCATAATTACATGTACCTGATCTAAATTTTCTTGGTGATTGTGAGCATGAGGGTGCCTTTCTCTTTTCCTTTCATTCACTGACAGCTTCTCTGTAGATGGCAATGTTGTTTCCCGTATGAAGGTTGGAACTGGAACATTTTTGTGTGCTACTGCTACTGCTGCTGCTGCTGCTGTTGCTGAAGGAACCTGCTGCCAAGTGCATTCCTGTACTGAAGTTTGATCAATCAACTCCCTCTGTTGACTTCCTGATGCCATGGAAACTGGCTTCACTGAGTCTTGTGCAGCTGCAAAAATGTTGGACATCATATAGTGTTACGTATAAATACATTTATTCTTATTTCAGGTTTATAAAATTGATACATGTATTTTTTCTGTACTGAGTTTCTTTTAAATGCTTTCCTTCACTTCCTTGTTAATTAGGTTGTACTTTAAAATCTTAAAAGTTGTTGTCACTGACTTAAAAATCTTAAAATAGACGTTTCGGCTAAAATACTATAACCTTCTTCAGTGATGAAATGAATGTTAATGGCTTCTAAATGTAAATGAGATGTTTATAAGAATGTGAGGAACTCACTAGGGATTAATTTAGCATTTTGTAAATGCCTGGAATATGCGCGTGGTCATTAATTGAGTTCGGTTCACGAATGGAATGCCACGCTTCCAAGAACAATCTACGCGACCACAAGGGACAGCAGTCTA